TATTAATTGGGTTTATAAGCAAAGAAGTGTTTAGCATTTCAACTGCCCATGATATCAGAATGCTTTGTGCAAAGTTCATTACTTTATTTTATTTATACATGAATTAATATCCTACCTTTCTGATACTTAATGTATCATGCTCTAATTATGCACAACGTGAGCACCCTGAAATGCATCTTCTCATCTGAATTATGATCTCTGTATATGGAGGGAAGGGCATTAACTGCAATATAGTATTTCTGTGACAATCACATAGGTTTCCTTATTGTTTTCTCTTATGTACTGTACATATTATGTCTTATCTGAACTATGTGATGTAACTTGGTTTTTTTATTTCTTTAAATGTATTTTATAAATTTATTATTTAAATAAATGTGGCAACAACAAAACATTAAAAAATTTAAAAACCCAGCAAAATGAAGTGCAAAACAAAAAACGAACAGGAACATAAAAAAACAAACGTGTGTGTGTGTATGCATTTGTAAATTAAAAAGAGATATTTTCAACATTTGAATATACTGACTGACTTGTTCTAAGAGCTCAGAGTAATCAGAAACCAACAAATCACATATAAGAATAGATAAATCAATTAAAATGGAAGACAAAATTAACATATTTTGAAATATAACAATATTTTGAAATATAACAGCATTTCTAATCTTTCAGTCCTCTTCCTGCTTAACTAATACAAGTAGAGTAACTTGATACGATTTCATTATATGTGCAGTTTTTCCAAAGGGATATTCAAAGTACTGTAAGATGATTTGACTATTTCTTGAAAAACAGTTTGAACTGTTAAATTGAAATGGTACCTAGTTCAATATAGCATTTAAACTGTATCCCAAAAATGAATAAAGTTTTTAATGTAGTGGTATTTGTGCTTGATTCCTACGCTACTTATTTCAAATGAGTTAATGAGCTGGTCATCTCTGTTGAAAGAGCTAGATTAATTCTTTTTTTTTTTTTTAGTTTATTCTATACCAAGAACTCCTCCGTCCCAAAATATCCCTCTCATATGTTGACCAAAACTAGTAATATATGTATTGCCATGTCATATTATAAAATTAATTAATTTATATTTAAATTAGTTTACATAACAACAACATCTATCAGTGTGGTTGCTAAGAATTGATGCTGATGATGGCACATAATCAACCTAACAACAAAAAAGCTGGGAAATTAAAAAAAAAAAATCTAATATATGTGTCCCAAATACCTAAATAGTCCTCTGGTCAAGATTCTAGATGACAAAATGTAAGTTCAAATATAGAAAGAGAAATAGGTTGTTTAGATCATTGTATAACTGATGCAAATGAACTTCCAATTTTCTCATGCCAGTTGTGAAAATAAAAGCACATAGTATCCATTACATTGGCCTTGCGTTAGTTTCCAAGCCATTGGTATGTTATTAAAAAAAAAATGATCAGCTACAAAGGAAGTTTTTCACAGCAAAGTTAATATGTAAAATAATTTCTATCCCAAAGGGAACCACCATAGCACTAAATGATGTCGTCATATGAACTTGTGCTGCATTTTGAACCATTATCTCCAACCATTAGCTGAACATGTCATTTTTTTCCCCCAAAGATGCATAGATATGCAGTGCTAACAACATTATTTCTGTTGAATAATAATAATAATAATCAGTTTTGAGTCCTGGTGACTGCCTGGACAAGTCCCTGCAGTTTTCTTGGCAAGGTTTTTCAGAAGTGGTTTGCCATTGCCTCCTTCCTAGGACAAAGAGAGAGGGACTGGTCCAAGGTCACCCAGCAGGTTTTGTGCTTAAGGTAGGACTAAAACTCATGGTCTCCTAGTTTCTAGCCCAATGCCTTAACTACTGCATCAAACTGACTCTCAGTTACACCTTCCAATTTGTAACCTTACAGAGAGCCGAAACTTTCTGAGTGAAAAATTAGGATGAGGATTTCCTCAATTAAATTTTCAAAACAATGCATTACATTTCTGAGAATACATTGTAAGTATATATATATATTTATATATATGGAAGAATACATATATTGTATAAATTACCAAAAGAAAACATTCAGTTTCAAGTTACTACTTTTTATTCCCCAAATTTACTTTTTACTCTAAATATAGAGACTGATACATCTATATTTATTTATTTATTTATTTATTTATTTATTTTTCAAATTTGTATGCCGCCCATCTCCCCCAATGGGTGACTTGGGTAACAAGTCTAAAATCTTGTTATTTTAATATGAAAGTATAACAATAACTGAGTATTATACACAGTTTAAATAATTCCAAGTAAGTTATTGCTTCTGGGCACCATTAAAACATAAACATAAAACATAAACTCCAAATATATAAATTTAATTTAAATTGATTAATAATATATCCAAAAAGAACTCCAAAATCATGAATTGATTTCATAATAGAAGATTCAGGTTTCTTGATTAATACCAAGATACCAAATGCTCTGTGGGAGAGATCCTAGAAATGTCTTTGTTTTTTTAAATAAGCCATGTATTGTATTTTATGTACAATTTTTATATTTGTTTGAAAGAACTGTAATCTTGAAAGGTGGGATTCAAGTAATTGAAATAAATAAATCCATCCATTCATCCATCCACCTTGAATGATGACTACTATAACTGCTATGCCAAAGATTGCACCTATGACAAATATCGTATCTGATAGGAAAGCTAGCTCTGTGCAGTGTGAGTTCTTTGATACAGCCAGCCAGCTGGTATGTGGGAGGAGACTGGAAAGATTAGTTTTAATGTGTGTTGAAACAAGGACATGCTGAATACTAAATCTAGAGTTTTATGTTACTGTCAAGAAACTACTTAAAAGTAAATTATTCTGTTGAGATTTTTAAGATTGAATGCTCATCAGACCTTTTAACTCAGAATACTGAAAATGGCACTTAACTTGTTTATTCTACAAATGTGGTTTAAGGATGAAGATAGATACGGAGTCAACATTTAGACAGTTATCTTTAATGTTAGGCTAGTTGCTTTTATTTTTAAAGTTGCTTTTATTTTTAAAGAGTCTAGGTAAATTTCCTTGCTTAGTCTTTAGAGACCAGTTGATTTATCTAATACAAATCTCATGTGCGTGTGTGCGCGTGTGTGTGTATATTTATTTATTTATTTGTGTGTGTGTGTGTGTGTGTGTGTATATATATCAGAAGCAGAGGTGTAAAAAGAATAAAGTTCAAACTATATCTTACAGGAGTAGAGATCTTTAAAAAATATTAATCAAATCAAGTGGAATCTTAATTTCTGATTTTAAAAATCCTAATAATATGATGGCATATTCATAAGTAGTTATAAAGGTTGAGTGGCCACTCTTCTATTTTTTTAGCTGTTCTTTCATTTATAACTCATTTTAACAGAAATTAAAACAAATTACCAAACTTAATGTACAAATATATTACACTGAGATTTAATCTGAATGAGCTTTGATATATAATTATAAAGGGCAAATGTTCAGATATGTTGTAAAGACTCATACTGTTTTATTCCAAGCTTATCTTGAGCTTATTTGGGGTTACAAAAATTCATGTTGTATTTATGGGATGTTCCTTGAAAGCTCAGTGTAAGTGTAGATGGGTCAAATAAATATTATATTAATTACGTGATTTGCCTTGGATGAAGTAGCTAGCCTTTACTCTGATGAAGACTGCCATTCCCAACTGCTTATTTATGTGAGGGAAAAAAAGCACTTATTTCAATGGGAACCCTTCTGCTCCTCTCTCTTGCCTATGTAGATATCAGGTATAGGATGGATATGGAATAAAAAAATACTTTGCAGGGACAAGGAAGACCAATCACCCCTCCCCCCCCCTTTTTAAAAAATGTTGTTATGCCTGTTACAAGGAGGTTGGTAGTACACTGGTTCTTTCTGGAAGGTTTTGTAGAGTTGCTCTGAGACAGTATCCCAGGATATTTAGGAGAATTGAAGGTCAAAGCCTTTGATAATCAAAGAAAGCAGAAATTTTAAAATGAATATTGTACTATATATCTCAACTAGTAAGAGACTAGAGTTAATTGGAAATTAAATTAAGGTATATAGACACTGTACTATAATGAGTGTACCCAAACCTTCTTTCTTAAAGGTGAAGTGTTTTTCTTATAGTCACATACTCATATCTTTAATTTTGGGTTGACATTTCCCTACTGAATTATCATGCTTGTTTGTCTTAAATAGAGGAAATGACATGCATGCTTTCTTTTCACACAACAGCTTTCAGCAAAATAATTGAAACAGGATGTTTCTTTTATATTCCCAATGTTTTAATTTTGTGCAGTAAAATTCCATCTAAGAAGTTACCCTTTTTAAATATCAGAGTTATCCAGGAAGATTGAAAAACTGATTGCTTTTTATTATGTGATATTCTTGTATACGTTTGAAAGAGTTTG